ACGGGAAAATGTTTTGCTCTCGGTCATGTACGGCATAACCTCGAGCCAAATATTTCCCGTAACGGCCCTCTTACTCAGTCAATAAGTACATATTTCGCGTTAACTTCAGATTCTTCTTTGCGGACTTTTACGGATCTTTACGGAATATCAACGCATGTTGGAATGATCTTAACGCATTATGGAAATATTGCGTAAATATCGCGTAAATAAATATTTCGTCTTTCCGGACTTTTACGGATCTTTACGGATAGACTATTCTTTACGCGGCTCCGTAAACATTGCGTTAAGGTTGAATGAACATTTACGGATATTAACGCATTTTCGTTATGACCCGTAAAGATGTCATTTGGTGCTGTGTATGCCTATCTCGTACCCATAGGCAGGAGCCGAGAACAAAAGAAAATACTAAGAAATGAAGTTAAGCGTGTGGAATAAGACATCGCATAGGCATAGCAATCTAATAAGCATAGAACCAGCAATAAGCTAATTAACAAAGAAAACCACCTTCTTAATCCCTTCTAATCACAGAAGCTATTGTTATACGCCCCTTATGCTTAATGCGTTAGTGAAACCCAGGCTCAAAGATTGACTATTGTTTACCTGTTTTAGGCATACTCCTGGCATTCATTCGTGCTACAAGAGAAGTGAATTGGAGCCTTCATTTATCATCATTTCGGTCAATGATTCCTTGGTTTTTCGCGTGTGACAGAGTCAATTATGCAAGGTATGGCTCTGCGTATTGGCTAGAGATGATTTCATYGGAAAAAACACATCCAGGTACATATTTCTTTTGGTAATGTTATTTTTCAGGCCATTTCATATTCATGCACTTCATATTGAATAGGCATTCTTTGYATGCAGTATATTTAATGTGCGGTTGATACTTTTTATAGGAGCGCTTCCAGATGTTTCGGCAAACTTTGCGGTACAACGCCAAAGCAATTATGGCTTTGCAGCAGTTGCTTGCGATCAGACGATAGAGCAGACGGCCAATAGAGACTCCAAAACCAAGGGTGGACTKGTAGGCTTTTCGATGAATCGGGCATCAGTACATAGATGGCTTCWATCCCAATCTGAGAGGGTTGCAATCACTGGTCAATGCAAACAAATGGCTTGCTTAAACCGCAAACCAAGGTATGGCTCAATTCCTAACTAACGTTTATAAAACCGAAAGCTAAGTTGTAGTAAAACCTTGTTCACATAAGTTATAAATATGCAATTACTTGATCATCATACATCTTTTGTATTTTAGAGGCAAAAAAGATCTCGATGCCACTAAATGTCAGAATTATGA